CTCCCCGAATGTCAGAACTGCACATACGTATAAGAATAAAGTACCAGTTAAATTACACAGTAGTGAATTGGTTATAGGTTTAAAATGTTTCTTTATTTATGGTTTTTTCGTGCAATTTCAATGATATGTTAGGAATGAAGTTTCGATGTTAACTTTTTCATATGGCATGAGCACACAAGTCATAGGTGATGAGCACGAAAATTTGATTTCGCATATTTTGAAAACACATAAATAGAAGAACACTTTAAGCCTAGAACCGTGCTTTCTTTATTTTAATGGATACTTTACTATTGTTCGTTTGGGGTGGTACTAACGTTCAGGTTGATTTATGAGTCATAGGAGACGAGCACAAAAATTGAGCCCTGCATGTTTTGAGAGCACATAAAATAGAGGAATATTTTAATATAATAGATCGTTATTTGTATTTTAACTGGTACTTTACTCGTATGTGTATGTGCGATGCTAACTTCACGGGAGGGTTGTAAGTCATAGGGGATAAGCAGAACAATTCGTTGTTGCATTTTGCATTTTGAGAGCACATAAATAAAGGAACATTTTAAGCCTAGAATCGATTTATTTTCTTTATTTTTATTGGTGCTTTACTCTTATTTGTTGGGGCGGTGCTAATGTTCGGGATGATTTATTAATCACAGGGGAGGAGCACAAAAATTGGCTCTTGCATATTTTGAGAATACATAAATAGAGAAACATTTTAAGAGCCAAGAGTCGATTCGCTATCTTTATATTTAATATCTTTATTTTACTCTTGTTTTGTTGGGATAATGCTAATGTTTGGAGTGATTTATTAGTCATAGGGGAGGAGCACAAAAATTGAATCTTCGTTGAACTTTCGTTAAGTCAGCACTCCCATTTTCAATTCTCATTTTCTGCTAAACCGCGCGGGCACAAAAATCGGGACTAGAGCATAATTAACATATAAATAGCACTTAATTTGGGCATATATATTTTTTCGATTTTTGGGGGGGTGTTAGTTTAACAGATGTGTTTATGCGCCATAATCTATTATCTTGTAGATAAATTCTAAGAAGCAAAATGAGTACTGTCATTTTGAATGCATATATTTCTCATCGTATTGTACTTTTACGTATGTATATGTTTGTGCTTTTTAATTTTTAATATTTTTCCTTAATTTGCTTAAAATTTGATGAAATATTTCAGGATATTGCTTTACAATTTTTTTCTGAATATCCTGAAAATGTATGATACATGTAATAATATAATTTCATTGAAAAGATAATTCAGTTTTATTAATATGTTTTTTTATACTTTTATTAATACAATTTTATTGACAAGATGATTCAGTTTTATTAATAATTATTAAATATATTTTTTGATATATATTATTAAATATATTTGTTTGAACACATATATCATAATATGATTAAGGGTTGCACAACAATCTGTACAGACCATAGTATCTGAACATTTTCAGCTTTGATTTTTGGGAAAAAGCACAAACTTGCACGTAAAAGGACAATATCAAAATGACAATATTTATATTGCTCCTTAGAACCTACTTGCAACATAATAGATTATGGCGCATAAACATCAGTCACTTACACTCCAAAACAAATTATCAAACGCTAATTGTCAAACGCGCCGCGGAACTCAACGACATCGTTGACCGCCAATCGGCGGAAAAAAGAGCAACAAGCATACTATCTTGCTTATTCTTTCGTTTTCTACTTTCTTATTCTCGTTATGCGTATTTATTAATAATCAGTCAAGCAGAATCATGACATAAGGAGCAAAGACAATAGTTTGAGATTACAAAATATATGTTTATATAGATACAAAAGTCGGTATGAGCAAACAATATAATGATGTAGATATAATATAATTTATGCATTTCTTTCTAAATTAAAGAAAGAGAGAAAAAAGATAGAACAAATAAAAAGAATTAGTGTGTTTATTAGATATATTGCTAATGTGTCCGTTTCGATGCACGCGTATTTATTACATTATCAATCTGATAAATCAGACCGATAAATCAGAATCACTGCAGGACCCAGCAAACATTGATTCGCTAGGTTCTACAATGACCCTTACTTATCAGTCTGATGATTCACTGGGTCGATAAGACTAATAATGACATCTCGCGACAGACATTGTAGCCATACAAAGGCGACGACAATGACATTTCTTAAAGTAAAAATTTCCAAATTGGACTTTGCATAGCAATAGCCCCGTTCGTAGAGCACGTAGAAGAAAAATAAAAATATTTTTATTAAGCAAGTCGAATTCAAACTATCGAAGCCTACTTAGAACTTGATCGATTAGATTTTAGCTGTTATTGAGATCTGATAATTTCGGGTGCTCGCATTTTGCCGACTCGCATGAAGTCACACGATAATGTTCTTGGTTGATTTGACATCCGAGACACTACCATGTTTCCTAATTATTGATGTTATTATCAATTAAATATGTTCAGAAATTTATATATTTACAGTTCAGTATATTAATAAATAAACAGTACAGAAAGTCAATACAAATTCCTTAGAGAGATACTGAAAGGAGTGAAATATGAAAAGAATGTTACACATATTGAAATGGCATCTCTATTTAAAAGAAGAAAACGTAGATATATATATATAGTCAGAACTCGGTACGTCTTTTAGTTTTTGGTCGATTTTTAACGAGGTCCACCTATCACTATTTCTCTTATGTCATTGCCTCGCGCAGCCAAGCAATTTAATGTTCTCAAGAGCATTCACAGAATTAAATAGATTTAAATTATTAAATTAGATTTAGATTTATTAAATAGATTTCGTCACTTATAAAGATACTATTGACATATTATTTTTACGTAAATCTTTAAATAGACCTAATCTACTAATGACTTACATTCTTTGACTTACATTCTTGATTCTTTAAATAATTGAATAAGGAGAATAATGGATGAAATAAAGAATATTCAGTATGACTTTCAGGATCTTTTATAGGCAAGAGCAAGAATCTCAATCTACATATTGAAGCAAGTATTGTAGTATAAGATGAAGTAAAAACTCGTCTTATAAAGACTTATACAGCACAAATTATAGCAGCAACATTGATGCAACGCTACAATATAAAGAAGAACATAAAGAAGAACGTTTCTAATTTATAAGCTTTTTTTTGAAAATGCTATCTCACATAAATATGGAAAAAACAGAATAAATTCAAAATTCAAAATCTCGAAACTTGAGAGTATGATGATTTTTTCCAAATTTTATAAAAATTGGCATTGGTTTCTTTAATCGTTTTGGAAGCCATAATTCATACTGCAAGGTGTTATTTTTCAATTGACGTAAGATTTTCAAAAAAGATTAATTCGGTTATTAAATATCACGTAAAGCGCATATTAAATTCGTCTATATATATAAGAAGATCTAAAAAATGGATATCTTTTGAAATTACAACTATTTTCGTAATCTTCGAGAAGAATATTGCAAGACGGAAAAAGTGAAAAATTGGTCATGAATTAGCTAGAATATTCAGTCATATGAGAATATTTAGATCGATTTTTAGAATCTCTCTTGTAAGCGAGAGAAGGAACGATCTGTATATTGTAAGTCGCGAGTCACTTAGAACAAAATAAAGAATCGTTTAAAAAAAAATCCCTTATTTTTTTATAAACTTCACTTTTGAAAATGATGTATCACATAAATATAGATTCTAACATTCTATGTTTACTAGTAGTTGAATCCCTCTCTTCTCTCTGGATGCGTGCGTGCGTGTGTGTGTGTGCGCGTGCGTGTGTGTGTGTGCGCGTGCGTGTATGTGTGTGCGCGTTACGTGCGTGCGTGCGTGTAGTAAATGTAGTATATAAATGTATATATATGTATATACAGGATGTTT